AGCTTTGTGTATTGTGTCATTTAGAAAAGGATTGGGTATGATTGCTTAGTATCTGAAATAAAAGAAAGTACAAACACTTTCTTTGGAGGAATCATGGTTCTTAATAGTGTTTTCTTTTGCTAAGTGTAAATCCTATATTGAATGTTTCTTGTTAGCCATTCATTCCATGGGGTAAAATAATTTAATTATATTAATGTTCATGAAAAAAAAGTCTGCAGTTGTTAAAATCATCAAATAACCAATTTTACTGTCTGGCCAAATGTTCCAAATACTGTATGTGTATGTGTATGTAAATACATAATTTTACTTTTTTAGTAGTTTTTAAGGAAAAATACTTTTATTTTTCAATATCAGTTTCTTTTATGTACTTTAATAGATTTGTAAATGTTCCTGGTTAATTACTCATGGCAAGCAATCCCTATCTTTCAAGAAGGAAGCAAGCATGTTTTTGTAAATTGAATGGTTGTGGAAATTATTCTCATTTTTTTTTCAAGCATCAGTATTAGGATTCTTTGAAAATAATTCAGAAGTGTTTCTGAATGTGTAAACATAGCATCTCTTTGAGACAGCTGCAATTTTAAAGCATCCATGTGATTCAGAAAAAAGATCTGTCTGCTTTAATGAGTTGACTCACTAAAACTGCCATGTCTAAAAATAAAATTTTGGATATTTTAAAGTGGTGTTGTGTTCATTCTTCCATGCATTCCAAAGTAACTTTTTTGAATGTGTTGAAGCATGTTTAATTTTATTCTCTCTTATTCTTAGCACAATATATGAGGAATAGTGTATAAGCTTTATTGGCTGATTTACAAAAATATTCTTATAGATTTTAATACTAAAAGATAATGTAAGGACAAGGAAATTGTATACTTAGCCAATGTTTAGTTTGTGATTTCAAAGATGCCAGTTCCTGAAGGTAGCTGCAATTTGTGTTAATGATGAAAAACCTTAAACTGTGATTCCTTGATAATTATACAGTATTATTCTCTTTTCCTTTATATTATTAACACTGAGTTGCCCTTGATGTTCAAGCTAATTATCTAATAGCATGGACTAGGCATTAACAAATATTAGCATACCATATATAACCTCAAGGAATAACTGAACTGAAATGTGAACTGAAACCATGACCCCAATCAAACAAAAATGCTGACAACAACCACCAGCCAAATACATCTTCATTACATACCTCACCCATTTTTTATAAACTAATGCCTAATCTTTAACTTGCCTTACTAATCAACAAAAATCCAATAAAAGTTATCAAAATACCTAACATAAATATATAGCCCCATTTTCTATTTAAAATCACATTCAAATACCTCTCTTTAATAATGAAAATCTAATTCTAATTAAGAATTAAACATTGCAAAAATACAAATCTACTAAGCATTACCAAAGCTAATTCCTATGTATGTATGTATGCATGTATATGTATACACACACATATACGCACATACACACACATACATGCATACATACATACAGGGCTTTTTTTGTCATAGAACGCCCAGAACGGAGTTCCGGCACCTTTTTTGGCTGGAGCCTTGTAGGGTAGGCAAGGCGGGTTGTATGACGTGTGAGTTCCGGCACCTTTTTTTTTTTTTTTTTTTTTTTTTTACAAAAAAAGCACTCTGTATGTATATATATATGTGTGTGTGTGTGTATACACACACACACACACACACACACACACACACACATACATACATACATACATACATATACACAGAAAGCTTTTCAGACCGAAGTCACATTCGTCATCTTCAGGCTGGTGTCTTCAGCTTCGTGCTTCTGGGAGTAGTGTGCGATCGCAGCTATTTCTTCCTTTTAACTGCCAGTGGGGTTTGAGCTGATTGGGTGGGAGCTTGGCTGTGTTCTGATTGGGTGGAGGTGTGTTCTGATTGGTTAAGGAACTTGGCTGTGCTCTGATTGGATGGGGGGTTGGCTGTGCTCTGATTGGATGGGGGAGTGTTCTGTTTGGGTGGGGGCTTTGTTGTGCTCAGGTTAGTCTGAGTT